CAGGAGGGCCAGCAGGGGTAGGTGGGTGCCATCCAAGCGCTGCGGCTGGGGATGCTTGAAGCCACTCGGGTACGGGGGGAAGGCTGCAGAGCTGGGGTGGGATAGGGATGCTGGGCTGGCGATGGCATTGTGGCCGTGAGCTGGTGTGCAGGGCTGGCAGCCCCATCTAGCGTCCCCATCCAGGAGGATGGGTAGCTTCGTGCTGAGCTGAGCACGCTTGTGCAAGCAGGGTCGAAGCTGCAGGACCTGGAGCAGCGGGTGGCGGTGCTGGAGGAGCAGTGCCGGCAGAAGGAGGAGCGCCGCGTTGACCTGGAGCTCAAGCTGACCGAAGTGAAGGAGCGGCTGAAGCAGTCACTGGCGGGAGGGCCAGCCCTGGGGCTGGCTGTGACCAGCAAGACTGAGAATGGGGTATGCACCCCTTCTTCCTTGCTCTCGCAGCTTCGGCTTCCCCCAGCGGTGCTTGGGGTGGCGGGGGGGAGCAGCATGTGGGGAAGAAGGGGCATCCCTGCTGCTTTGTCCCATTCTGGACAGAGGTGGGAAGCAAAGTGTCCATTAGGTTTGGCCACGTCAGTTTTGACCTCATGATAGTTTGTGCTTTTTTTTTTTCCCTGGCTGTCCCTGCTCCCTGGGTCTCCTAAAACCTCCTCTTTCTTGCTCCCCCTTTTCCACAGGAAGCTACAAACAAGCCAAATGGGAGTCCCCCTGAGCACTTGGTCCCCGTTAACTGTGCAGCCGAACTGAGGAAGAGAAGCCCCTCCATCCTCCCTGCCAACAAGGGAAACGTGCTGCGGAAGGCCAAGGTCCTGCTTTGCTCCCCCTCTCCTCCCCAGCCCCATGGGAAATCTCATCCTTCATCTTGTCTCCCTTCCTTGACTGTGAAATCTGGGGACCTGGGATGCTCCCTACCCCAAAAGCAAGGGGTACTGCCAGGGTCCCCTGCAGCACTCTCTGCTGGCATGAGCCCAGCTTGCAGGGAGATTTGGGAGGTGCAGAGCTGGGCGGGCAGAGGGGAGAGCACCATAGAATCATAGAATAGTTTGGGTTGGAAGGGACCTTTAAAGGTCGTCTAGTCCAACCCCCCTGCAATGAGCAGGGACATCTTCAACAAGATCAGGTTGCTCAGAGCCCCGTCCAACTTGACCTTGAATGTTTCCAGGGATGGGGCATCTACCACCTCTCTGGGCAACCTGTTCCAGTATTTCACCACCCTCATTGTAAAAAATTTCTTCCACATATCACCTCTAAATCTACCCTCTTTTAGTTTAAAA